CAGCAAGCACCCTACCCACGGAGCTGTCTCCCCAGCCAGCTCAAGTTGAGAACATGAATAAACATGGCGTCTCACCAGTAAGGTTGCCATGGGGATGGTCTGGGTCTGTTCCTGACTAGCGTTTACCAAGTGTATACCCCCACCAGGTACTTGTGTTAAGTATATCCATAAACGACCTAGCAAACAGAAGCCCCTGGGGCTGGTATAACAGACATTAGGACAAGAATCCAACCGGAGGTAGTTTGTGATCCGACCCCAAGACACTTCAGCCTCTCTAGCTGTGCAGAACACGCACACGGGGCGTGGCTTGAACTCCTTTCCCATTGCTGTGATAGAACACCCCGACAAGCACAGCTTAAGGGTCAAAGGGTTTATTCTGACTCATGATTCAGGGGGTACAGTCCATTATAATGGGGAAGTCACATTTTAATTGTGGGCAGCATTTCCCTGGGTAGGGGATTCTAGGATGTATAAAATAGAGAAAGTGAGCCAGCCAATCACCACAAAACATCCATTGTGCTCTGCTTCTTGGTTGTGAGTGTGAATGACCAGCTGTTTCAGGCTCCCTATATCCATAGCCAGCATCACATGGACAAGCGTGGAGCAGCCACACTCATGCACAATGGGCCAATTAAACAGCTGATACTCACAGCCTCCAGTTGGACCTTAACCTTGCTATTCAACTCTACCTAGATCCCACCTCACCCCCTCCACTCAACAACTTTAGGCTTTTCTCTTTCAGACAGAGAAGCAAGAGCCTCAGTTGGCCACAGTGAATGCTCAGTGCCCAGATGGATGGGCACCTCCCTTTATGGCTCTCCTTCTGTTCTTTCTGCCTCAGCTCCTCCCTCCCTCCCTCCCTCCCTCTCCCTCTCCCTCCTCTCTCCCTCTCTCTTTCCCTTATTTCAACAATCTTGACTCCATGTTGGTTCAAAGATATAAAATTATAAAGTGTTGAGACTAGAGAGATGGCTCAGTGGTTAAGACCACTTGTTCTTGCCGAGGACCTGGGTTTGATTCCCAGCATCCACATGGCAGCTCACAATCATCTGTGACTACAGTTCCAAGGGACACAATGCCCTCCTCTGGCTTCAGTGGCCACCAGGCATACATGTGGTAAACATACATTCACACAGGCAAAACAGTCATTCACATTAAAATAAAATAAATACATCAAAAAAATTGTAAACAGTGGTAAACTGGTATTTTAACAGTAAGATCGGGGGGGAGAGGGTCCTGATTTTGTAACTTGAGATTGAAACAGAATTTCCAGTAATTTCTGACATGGTCCTAAGCATACTTCTGCCATTTCTGTAGAGGGTGTGTGTGTGTGTGTGTGTGTGTGTGTGTGTGTGTGTGTGTGTGTGT